CCGGAAAGCTTCCAAGGTCTCTTCTAAACTGCTCATCTCTAAGGTTTTTAAATGTGGAAAACAACAAAATCAAAGACACATTTCCGTTATGGCTCAAAGCTTTGCCGAACTTGAAAGTCCTTAACCTTCGTTCCAACAAATTTTATGGTCCTATATATCCTCCTCATCTACGTCCTCTCGGGTTTCCAGAGCTGCGGATATTTGAGATAGCCGATAATAAGTTTACTGGAAGCTTGCCACCAACTTACTTTGTGAATTGGAAAGCATCATCTCTCACTATGAATGAATATGGTGGCTTATATATGGTGTATGATAGTAATTCTTACAATGAAGTTCACTACACGTATACAGATTCCATAGATTTACAATACAAAGGTCTACAAATGAAGCAAAAGAGGATCCTTACTTCATACATCGCCATTGATGTTTCTGGAAACAGACTTGAAGGACAGATTCCTGAATCCATTGGTCTCTTGAAGGCACTGATTGCACTCAACTTATCAAACAACGCCTTCACTGGCCATATTCCCCTGTCTATGGCCAATCTTCAGGAGCTCCAGTCACTAGACATGTCAAGAAACCAACTCTCGGGGACTATTCCTAATGGACTCAGGACCCTCTCGTTTTTGGCGTACATCAACGTGTCTCACAACCAACTCAAGGGTGAAATACCACAAGGAACACAGATTACTGGGCAATCTAAATCTTCCTTCGAAGGGAATGCAGGGCTTTGTGGTCTTCCTCTGAAGGAAAGTTGCTTCGGAACTAAAGTGCCACCAATACAGCAGCCAAAGAAAGAAGAAAACGAAGAGGAAGAAGAAGTGTTGAACTGGAAAGCAGTTGTTATAGGGTATGGACCTGGAGTGTTGCTTGGATTGGCAATAGCACAAGTCATTGCTTCATACAAACCGGAGTGGTTCGTCAAGATAATTGGTCCTAATAAGCGCAGAAACCATTAAGATTTTTGAGTTTGAGTTTGATCATAGAATATCTATCAGGTTGTTACTTGTTTTGGTCTTGCGTTTGAACTTTGAATGTTTGTCAAGTAGTTGATGGTCTTGTAATAAAGCAATGTTGCCTATGTTTTTCTTATACCCAATGCTTCCTTGGTTCAGAAAGAAAAATAGTAGAGGCCTAGATTGGGAATCAAGTTAGGGTTTTTGGTTTCTGACAAAGAAAAGTAGAAAATATCATAACCGTTGTGGGTTTGATTCAACAGCTGTAATCTATCGGCCATGATGTTGGATACACTGGTCAATGGGAATAGTGAGAAAAGAGTAAGTGTAAACAAAATTGAAGAAAAAGAAGATAAAGGGAAAAAAACAGAGCAATGGGATCAATAAAGCAACAGTTGTTTCAAAAACAAGAAAAGTATGACAACTTTCTTTATGTTCTTCTATCAATCGCAGTAACTGTAGAGAAACAAAGCTTGAGAACTTTCTCTTACCCGTTCTTGTCTCAAAACAAGTACGAATCTTCTCTAGATCTGTACTATTTTCCATTACTACAAGGCAAGAATCCCTAGGTTTTCCGAACAAAACCAAAGCTACATGAAGTAGAACAGAGTTGGGTCAGCTCATTTGCAAGAGACTTCTAGGATCACCAACAGAAGCTCTAGCTATAGTTTAATCCAAATTTACTAATAACACAATATCTAATTCTAATTGTAATCCCATTGTATTTGTTCGTTTGCACTAATATTAATTTTCTTTCAGTTCATTAAATTTTTTAAAAATGACCCATTCTCGTAGAGATGAGCGGGTAAAAGCAGAGAATCAATGTTTCCGTTAATGTCTTTGTTCTCAAAAACTTTTATCATCTCCTTTGAAGATCCTTCACTCCAAAAGAATGTGTCACACTCTTTGCCACGTTACCACTTTGAAATCTGAATAATGTCTTTTCACCCAAATCAAATCAAATTAATGTCTCTCAAAATTTGACTAAGTCTTCTCCAATCCGTAAACAAATTAATTTCATTTCTCTAACTGTAACGCTACTGAGTGTGATAGATGGTTCAAACTGATATAAATCTAAATATTATACGTGTAGAGATTTTACTTCTTTGATCTGGTTGGCTGGCTCTTTTGAGATAATCATTCTTCTTAAAAAGTTTTCATCATGTCATGTCTGCGTTTGCATTTTCTCTCGGTACTCCTACTTTGTTGTTTCTTCTTTGCTTCAAGCGTCTTAATGATAGATACTCTTCTTGTTGGACTTTCTGCTTGTCGCCCTGACCAGATTCAAACACTTCTGCAGTTCAAGAACGAGTTTGATTCTCGCGGTTGCAACCGCAGTGAATACTTCAAAGGAGTCCGGTGCGATAACACGACAGGTGCAGTCACGAAGCTACAGCTCCCAAGTGGCTGTCTCAATGGAATCCTCAAGCCTAACAGTAGCATCTTCGGACTGCATCAGCTCCGCTCGCTTGATCTCTCTCACAACAACTTCACCTCCTCTTCACTCCCTTCCGGATTTGGCAATCTCAACAGATTAGTGGTCTTGTCTCTTTCCTCTAATGGCTTCATCGGTCAAGTCCCTTCCTCAATTAGTAACCTAAGCTTGCTAACCGATTTGAACATTTCCCATAACGAGCTCATCGGTAGTTTCCCACATGTATGGAATCTAACCAAGCTCTCATTTCTAGACCTTTCTCATAATCACTTCTCCGGAACCATCCCTTCTTCTTTGCTCTCCATGCCTTTTCTGTCATATCTTGAATTGAGTGAAAACCATTTCACTGGTTCAGTTGAAGTTCCTAACTCCACTTCTTCATCGAGGCTTGAAACCCTATACCTAGGGCATAACCATTTTGATGGACAGATCTTAGAGGCCGTCTCAAAGTTCATCACCCTCAAATACCTTGATCTTTCTTTCCTAAACATAAGTTACCCAATTGACTTAAACCTCTTCTCTTCTCTTGAGTCTTTGTTGAACATTGATCTTTCCGGTACTAGTATATCACCGGTTAGTTTACGTTCATATTTACACTTTCCACTGACCATGGAGAGATTAGTCTTATCAGATTGCGACATCAGCGAATTCCCAAGTTTCTTGAAGACCCTTAAAAACTTGGAGCTTATTGACATTTCTCACAATAAAATCAAAGGGAAAGTCCCTGAGTGGTTCTGGACCCTTCCGCATTTGATCGTGGTGAGGCTTGCTGACAATTCTCTCTACGGTTTCGAAGGTTCAGCGGAGGTTTTAGTAAATTCATCGGTGCAGATATTAAGCTTGGCATCAAATCAATTTAAAGGACCATTTCCTAACCCACCACGCTTTATCAACCTCTTGACTGCACGAAACAATAGTTTCACAGGGAACATACCGCTTTCAACATGCAACCGCAGCTCTTTCACGCTTCTTATTCTTTCATACAACAACTTCACTGGTCCAATTCCTCAATGCCTGAGTAACTTTAAGATAGTGAAACTCCGGAAGAACAACTTGGAAGGAAGTATCCCGGACATGTTCTATGTTGGTGCCTCTATACAAACACTTGACATTGGCTACAATCAACTAACCGGAAAGCTTCCAAGGTCTCTTATAAATTGCTCTTTTCTTCAGTTTCTAAGTGTTGACAACAACATAATCAAAGACACATTTCCTTTCTGGCTCAAGGCTTTACCTACTTTGCAAGTTCTTACCCTCAGTTCAAACAAATTCTATGGTCCTATATCTTCTTCTGATCAAGGTCATCTGGTGTTTCCCGAGCTGCGGATACTTGATATATCACATAACAATTTTGGTGGAAGTTTTCCACCAAGCTACTTCGTGAATTGGAAAGCATTATCACACAAGATGAATGAAGATGGGAGTATATATATGGTATATAACAAGGAAGCTTACAAGAATGTTTACTATATATATGAAGATGTTATAGATTTGCAAAACAAAGGTCTATTTATGGAGCAAACGAAGGTGCTCACTTCTTATGGATCCATTGATTTTTCAGGAAACAGATTTGTAGGAAAAATTCCTGAATCTATTGGTCTCTTGAAGGCATTGATTGCGCTCAACTTATCGAACAACGCATTTACAGGCCATATTCCTCTGTCTTTGGAAAATCTTACGGAGCTAGAGTCATTAGACCTTTCAAGAAACAAACTCTCAGGGACTATTCCTAATGGACTAGGGAGCCTCTCCTTTTTGGCGTACATAAATGTGTCTCATAACCAACTCAAAGGTGAAATACCACAAGGAACACAAATCACTGGACAGCCTAAATCCTCCTTTGAAGGGAATGCAGGGCTTTGTGGTCTTCCTCTAGAACAAAGTTGCTTCCGCTCTAGTATGCCAGCGATACAACCAAAGCAAAAAGACGAAGAAGAAGAAGACAAAGGAGAGGTGCTGAACTGGAAAGCAGTAGCTATGGGATATGCTCCTGGAGTGTTGTTTGGATTGGCAATAGCAAAACTCATTGCTTCATACAAGCCAGAGTGGCTCGTCAAAATTATTGGTCCTGGAAAGCGCAAACACCGTTAGAGGATTGACTTGGTTTTACGTGTGATGTGATCTTTGAATGTCTATATCAAAACGTTGCTGGTTTTGTTATGTAGTGGTTCCTTATGTTTATTTGTATCTTCATGTGAAGCTTTGTTCTATTTCCTTTTCAATAAAGTAAGAATTCTAAATTTTTCGTAGTTGGATAAATCTTATAAAATAGAAGGATGAGAAAAATCGAACAAGAAAAACGGCAAGGCAGGGAAAATGATGGCATCTGGAAAGGGAAAACTAGGTTTTGACCCATCATCGCTTCTACTCCAATTCCTCTGTCCCAAAAAAAGTAGAAATTACTCTGTTTCGTAAAGTATATAATGAAGAAACAGAGTAGATGAGAGGGAAAAGCAAAGCAAAGTGATAAAAAAGAACACCAGTTGTTTCAGTTGTCTCTATGTTTCATAAATCGTAGTACCAACTGTACAGAAAAAAAAAAGCTGTAAGATAATAAGAACTTTCTCCTTATCCATTCTATGTTTCATAAATCGCAGTAACAACTGCACCTGCTCTGTTCTACTTTTTTCCTTTCTATACAAGGCAAGAATCATTTCTAAAGTCATATACATCTCTCTTTCTCTCTTTCTCTCTGTTTCATCAATCATGCAAGACCTGGTGGAGAGTTGTAAAACCACTCTTACAAATTTTGCCTACAGTTGCATTCATATCCCTGCAATCATCTTCTCCACCCACTGATTGCAAATAGTAATCTCTGTCGTTATCTGGTGTTCGCTCGTCAATGGCATTGCGGATGTCTCTGACGGTTTGGTCTGATCTAAAAGGAATATCTACCGGCATCACAGACCCACCATCGGTCAAGTAGATAGTTAGTGTAATAGTAGTCGGTGCAGCTTCATGCCCCACACTTGTCCTGTCTTGGATGGTCAGAGGATCATGAAATGTTTCCATGCTTGAATCTTCCTCAACAGGCTTACCCTTCAATTTGTTCTGACATATTATGAAAACAAAACTCAATGCTCAAAAGGGAAAATAGAGAAAACAAAAAAAAAAGGCCAAATCCGAAAAAGACCATCAATAGGTTGCTAACTCCTAATGTAAAACTAAGATTCCAATTCTTCATTGCCAGGTTATGTTTTAAACTAAGCTTTCAAGCAAACACAATTCGAGAAAACAGCAAGAGGTAAATAGTGCATAGGAAGAGAAAGAAAGTTACATTCACTTGAGACGACACCATTGGTTGTGAAGGTAATCCTATCAATGGAACAGGCGGATTGGATGTTACATCCTCTGAGAACCCAGTTGTTGGAAGTTCACCCTCGTCCATGAAATAGTTGATGGCATCTTGTACATGCCATTTGCAGCGGTCGAGGTAAGCGACTGCGACATCTGGATGCGTTCCAACAATATCACAGAAGTCCTTGATTTTTGCAGCATTGGATCCAGACGATAGTTCCTCTATCTTTGGCGGAAGTTGCTCTGGCTGAATCCGCATCTCATTCGAAATCCGACGTGAGTTCATTACCAGTGGCCTCGCTGTTGGTGACTCCCACTCTGGTACCGCGGATATCTCATTCACCGAAACCACTGGCGAAGATCTAACCTTGAGGGGAGGCAAGGTTTTGCTGCGGCAAGCCTCAATCGCAGTAGCCAAATCCGAATCGAAGGATTCGAGGTAATAGAGTGCTTCATCTCGACACACTCCAGTTTCACTGCAGATTCTATCAAGATTATATGGCGGAGGGTGGTCCTTGTTTTGAGCAGAACAGCTACTTCCCTGAATCTGAATGTAGAAAATGCAAACAGTTTTGTGCGCTTAACACTTGGAGAAAGAATCAACTTTCGTTTTCTCTAAAGTTCCTTCATTATAGAACACAAAGCTGTGTGCATCAATCAACATAGAGTTCCCTTGTTTATAAAAACAATCTTAAGAAAACAGAGAACACCAAAGCCAAAGAAAGACCCATCTATAGATAAAACTAAGATTCTCATTCTTCACAGAAATACAGAGAAAGAGAAGATTACTTACCTGCTCTTGAGAGGAAGACATTATAGGTACATCTTGTAAAACTCCCATCTCATCCACATCAACGTTCATCATACTGTACAAAAACATTTTCTCAGGAATCAACTAAACCCTAAGTCAAGAACTCACCAGAAATCGAATTCTTGGAGACAAAATCGCAAGAAAAGTACCCAGGAGAAGAAGAAGAGTACCCGATTTGATAGCCAACAGAAGCATTAAACTGAGATAGTGAAGGTAAATGTAATGATGGAAGAGGCGGAGCACTATGGTCCATCAAATCCATAGCCAAAGCCGTCGATGTTTCATCTTTTGAGAATCCTTCCAAATTCGAAACCCCAATCATCGGCATATAACCCTCTTGAAACCCCTGCAAAGACGACTGATCAATCTCCGGAAGATCCCAATCATCGGCATATGAAGTACGCTGCGAATATCGCTGGTTACAGTAATGGTCCCCGGCTCTCTCCACATCCCAATTGAAGCGCTCGAGCAAAGAGAGGACTTCTTGCGGAGGCAATTCAGGAGCCACTTCTTGGAATAAAACGATGCGTTCTTGCTTCAATTCAGACGATAGTTCCTTCGCCGGATTCAAAACCTGACGTGAATCGATCCTTTTTCTTGGCGGAATCTGATTCGAACTCCGACTTGGATAATTGATCGATCTTGGCGGTGTTGACGGAGTAGCTGAAGAATCCGCCGCCGTGGATTGCTCGTTAACTGAAACCTCCGGCGAAGATTTGACCTTGACGGAAGGCAAGGTTTTGACGCGGCAAGATTCCATCGCCGTAGCCAAATTCCAATCGTATCCTTCGAGGTAATAGAGTGCTTCTTCTGGAGATGCTCCAGTTTCAACGCAGATTCGGTTCACTTCCGTTGGATCAGTCATCGTCGTCGTCTTCAATTTGGGCGGGACTTTCTACTTTTTCAGAATCTTTTCAAGATCACGACGAGAATGATAAACCAGCGCCGTCTTTTTATGATAGAGTTTGAAACGACGTCGTCGTCGAGGAACTCTGTTAGACCATGCCCAGCGGTGATATATTGTGAGTATCATAAGCCCAGAAAATATTAATTAATGGACCAAACAACTTTTTTGGGCCTGAGCCGTATCAGTCCACTGATACTTCTGATACCCAGTATCAGTCGACGTGGCACGTGCTGATTGGTGTTGGAAACGCGTTTTTGGCTAAAGGCAGAGAAAAAAAAAAATCATTTGCTCTTCTCTTCTCTCCTTTTCACTGCGTCTTGGACCGGATTCTTCTTCAATGGAATCTAGAATCATCCTCCAAATTCAAATCCCTTGGAACCCTAATCTCAAATTCGAGAAGTTACAGAGGTCCGAAACCAAGCAAGAATTTGGTAGCTGATTTCATTTCCAAAAACGATGACTTGGTTCGGAGCTTAGCGATCTACGTCGGAGTCGCTTCTCTTTTAGTTGTTCTCTTCAATCGGACTGTCTCCGGTATCGCTCCAGTGGCCGATGCTAGCAGGTAATTTCAGCAAAATCTCTGAAAATCTGAGATTGTACAAGTTGGTTTCATCGAATTTTAGGTGGAATTGCTTAGCAAAAATTTGTAAACAATGGCTCAAATCGATTTTCCGATGTAATTCAACTTTGGTTTTTAGTATTGTTGCTTATTTGGTGAGTTTTTTAATTTGTAGTTCACAGTCTAGAGCAGATCTATTGGCGCTTGGTTTGGCTGTCACCAATCTATTGACCGGTTTGGTTGTCACCAATGTTGATTTTTGTTCGTTTTGTTGACAGAAACAAATCACAGAAGCGTGTTCATGCTTCAAACAGAGACTTATGTGAGAGGGATGCAATAACTCGACTGTAAGGTCCACTTACCAACCAAGAAACGAGCATTTCGTTGTGGATTTCGAGCAGCTTCAAAGCCAATTCAATGTAAAAATTTCAATCTTTTTATCTTCTCTTGTGATTTTTCACATAATGTTATTTTGGGCGGTGTATGGTTTGGAAGATTTGATTGATGATGATGATGATGATGAGCAATCTCAGGAGTTTCAGACCCAACTTGATTACCAGGATATGACCATTGAGGAAGAAGACAAGTTACTTGATGCATTGTTTTCCAAGGATGGAGCTTCAATAGCTAATCGTCTCTCTAATGCTATTACTTGTATCAAGAAACGTGAAAAAGGTTTTGTATGGTTTAAGTAGCTAACTATTTCATGATAGATGGTTATCTTTTGCGTGTTGAAAAAGGTTCAGCTTTTGTTGCAGAAACTACTTCAATGTCCATGTCTGAAGCCTCTGACTATTTTCAAGAGTAAACTTCTCTTTTTTTTTTTCCCTGTCCTTGTATTATCAGTCTTTTGTCTCTGATATAACTACCAAACTGTGCAGTCTTGGAAAGCTTATGAGTGAATACAGACATGGGAAATTGCCTAAACCTCTTAACAAAATTATTACCAAATGGGAAAGCTGGATTAGTTTATTGAAGTTGACTTAATAACTGGATTTGCGTACATTGTGTAGAATTAGTTGCATCAATTTATATATTTATTTTTCGATTTTGCAAATAATTTTTTTTTATTATTAATGATACCAATACCGATATCACCAATGGAAACAAATTTATTATCAGTATCATAAAAAATCTCAAACAATAAACAAACATTAAAATTAATACTAAAAAATTATTAATGATACTCTATGAGTATCAACTATGTGCATGCTCTTACAATCACAAAACGCGAGGGGTAAAACTGTAAATAACAATACCAGAAGCAAGAAGAGGGAATCCTAAAATCTGTGAATTGTTTTACTTAAGGAATAAAATCACACTATAGCGGGAATAATTTTGGTTTTGGTGGTTATATGTTTAATTATAGTCATATGATTTTGTAATTTTTAGAAAAAAGAATACGAACACCAATATACATTTGTGTTCTCATAGATCTTGTATGCTAAGAGCATCAACATGGGTAAGAAACTCACTAGGTATCTTCAATATAATATTTTGATTATTTATTTAATTCTAAATCATAAATTAAAAGCTAGACCAATTAAACAATGATATCTCTCAAATAAGTATGTCAAAAACCGAGAAACCGTTTCTCAAATTGAGAAACGTATCTCAACATTTCTCCTATTTTTTGATTATATTTATTTTTTTAATCATGATAACTCCTAATATGCAGAGCCATCTTAGAGTTTCACGAGAATACAGGCGTAGAAATAAAAAAAAAAAAGCCACATAATATTTATTTATTTTAATGTTTTTGCGGCGTTTGAGAAACCGTTTCTCCTATGTTATTTTTTGGATTTTCTAATAATTTATCCCTAATAGAAAGAACAGATGAATAGATCAAAATAAAAAAAATAAGTTCAGGTAAATCTGTAAAATAAATCCAAATAAAAATTATAGTCTCGCCGGTTTACGGCGTTGCGAGGCTGCTGCAAATTTTCTTGCGTCATTGTACGGAAAGAATCAACGACGGGTCAGTCATGTCTCTTTCTTTCGACGACGGAGGCTCAACTTTCCTCAAAGTGCCTTGCAACGACGGGTCAGTTATGTATCTTTCTTTCGACGACGGAGGCTCGACTTTTCTCAACAAAACAAATTGAGTATTATTGGTTGTGATGCCCTTGTGGCTTGACTACAAGAAGGGTGTATATTGATTCAGCAAAGAAAAAAAAACATTATAGTTTTGTAAGCTAGCTCTCACACAAACAATCAACCTCAGCAAATTCCAGATTTTCTTGGGAATCAAGAAACTCATCACCATGAAAGAATTTGAATCATAAAGACATATGCTTCTTGGAGACGAAATCGCAAAACAAGAAAGGAAAGTAATTACCTAGAAAAGGAGCTCCCGGTTTTGACTTGTTTCAAGTAATATTGCTTTGCATGAAACTGCGACGGTGAAGAAGATAATAATACCATCAATAGACATATATACTGCATTAACTCCTTGGATGCCCAGGCCTAATCATTTTCTTGCCAAACAGCGTCCTTTTATAGTGCAATCTAAACCACGTCATGTATTCATTATTCAATAACACCCACAAACGCGAGGGGTAAATAGGTAAATAACAATAATCTAAACACTCATGCAAGAAGAGAGACCAAATGGGCTGTGCAAAAATAAATCTGCTAAAAAAACTTTAAATCTATATTGATAATTAATATTTATATACTCCTTTCACTCATTAAAAAAAGTTGAGAACTACAAAAAAATATATGGAAAAATGGGTGCAAATAAACCACATTTTCTTTTGTTTCGTATTAGAATTTTTTTTGATAGTAAAAAATCACTATCTCTAAAAGTTGTAACCAAGCTCACATCTTATCTGCAAGTTTCTTCTTCAAGTTTCTGCTCCTCAAGCTATAAGTCTCGAAAACACACTGACCAAAAAAGCAGTATCGTACGTGCAAGCCTCGGTGAATGAATCACTTTCCTTTCAATAACACTCGCCTCGGACAGTCCTTACCAATTATCGTATTTTTTCGCGTACATCCAAGGAAACCTTTGTGTTCATTAGAAGGAGTGATCGACGCGCCTCTATGATGAACCCTAGTCGGATATTTTGGACCGTTCCCCACTAGATAATTTGTTTTCATCGGATTCGGTCCTACATTGTAGTCTATTTAAGATTTCACAAATCCGAGCATCATTTCGGGTGTTATGGTTCCTTGATGACACTCAAGATTGGTGTTTGGTTTTTGGAGATGATTGGAATGACAGCAAAGTGATAAAAGGAACAACGGCTGTTTCAAATCTCTCTATGTTTCATTAATCGATTCATACTATACAGAATAAAAAAACTATAAGAAAAATCTCTTTATCCATTCCTATATCTCATAACAAGTATAAAGCTGCTCTGTTCTATTTTTTCCTTTCTATACAAGGCAAGAATCCTTTCTAAAGTCATATACATGTCTCCCTCTCTCTATATGTTTCATCAATCAATGGAAACTGTACAAAAACCAAAGCTACAGGTAGATCTGGAGGAGAGTTGTATCACCAGTAGATATTTCATGTACAGTTATATCCGGATCCATGTAATCTACTGCAGCCCCTGATTGCAAAATGTAGTCTTTGTCGAAATCTGGTGTTAGCTCGTCAATGGCATCACGGATGTCTCTGACGGTTTGGTTTGGTCTAAAAGGAATATTTACCAATCGCCCATCGGCCAAGACGATAGTTATTGTAATAGTAGTCCCCGCAGCTCGAGGCCCCACAATAATCCTGTCTTGGTAAGCAACAGGATCAGGGAATGTCTCCATGCTTGAGTCTTTCTCAACACCCTCACCCTTAAAGTTAAGTCAAAACAAAATACTCAGAAGAGAAAGTTGAGAAATGTTACCAGTAACTGTATATCAATGTTGAGTTCCCTTTTTTTTATAACCATCTTAAGAAAACAGATAAACCAAGCCAAAGAAAGGCCATTAACACTTAATAGAATGTTAAGTCCTTATGTCGAACTAAGATCCACATTGCCTGCTTCAGTTTTGAGCTTAGCTTTTAACAAACACAGTTCGAGAAAACAAGCAAGACCATAGTAAGAAAGTACAGAGGAAGAAAAGGTTACATACATCCACTTGAGACGACGCCATTCCAAGAATAGCTACTGCGGCGTTTTCTTTACCAGCCTCTTCGAGTGACCTTTCTGACTCGGTCGGATCAACCTCCATCAAACTGTACAAGTAAGCGAATGGCGGAAAAAACATTCAGAAATGGAAGTTTAGCGATCCTTAAAGTACAGGAGAAAGATTCATACTAAGTATACTCTATAAACCAGCATCTACGGGACTAGTTCATACTTCTTGGAGATAAAATCGCAAGTTAAAAACTGAGAGCAAATAGAGAAGCAAAGGAAATCACCTAGAAGTGCTTCCTTCTTTCAAGTAACCAAGTGAAGCCTGAAACTGCGATTGTGAAGGTAATTCAATGGATGGAAGAGGCACCTCTCTGCTCTCCTTCAAACTATTAGCGATTGCCGCGGACAATTCATGCTCTGAGAACCCGTCTACTGCATGGTTTTCTTCACCAGTCCCTTGGAGCGACCTTTCTGACTCGGTTGGATCAACCTCCATCGAACTGTACAAGTAATCGAATGGCGGAAAAAAGATTCAGAAATGGAAGCTTAGAGATGACAGGAGAGAGATTCATACTAAGATACTCTATAAATCAACATCTACGGGTATATTTCATGCTTCTTGGAGACAAAATCGAAAGTAAAAAAGGGAGAGAGAAGAAAAAGAAATCACCTAGAAGTGCTTCCTTCTTTAAAGTAACCAAGTGAAGCCTGAAACTGTGATTGTGAAGGAAGAGGCAGCCCTCTGTTATCCTTCGAACTCATAGCGATTGCCATGGACAGATCCTTTGAGAACCTGTCCATATAAAAGCCGACGGCTTGGTCTACATCCCAATTGCAGAGTTTAAGGCAATCGATTGCCTCCTCTCTAGTCGCTCCACCAACCACATTACTGAATGAAGAGATGCGTTCATTATTGAATTGAGACAGTTGCACTGGCAAATTAGGCGGCGCCTCAGCAGATGCCTCGCTCACCGAAACCTCCGGCAAGATTCGATCAACCCAAGTTTCCTCCGGTGGCCAAACACTTCTTAATTCCTGAATATTTTGATTCTGAATGGAGAAATGCAAGCAGTGTATGCATCAACGTTGAGTTCCATTCTTTTTAACTATCATACGAAAACAGAGAAGGCCAAGCCAAAGAAAGACTTATAGCCATATAGTGCAGAGAAAGAGAAGGTTACACTACCTTGACTTGAGATGACGCCATTAGAGGTACAACTTCAGGGATATGTTCTCCTCTCGAGTCAACCTCCATCGAACTGTAAAAGTAAGAAAATGGCGAAAAATACACAAAAACCCTAAATCAAGAAATTCAAAAGAAGAGAATTCTAATCAGAAAGAAAAACCCTAAGAACATATACGAAACGAATCCATACTCAGAAGAAGAGCTCCCGATTTTGAGTGGTTTCGAGTAATCTTGAAACTGCGATTTTGAAACTAATTGTAGAGGATTCGACTTCTTTTGAGAAGGCGTTTGACGGCGCTCGACCCAGAAAGAGTCGACGGCTAGGTCTATATTCCAATTGTTGCGCTCGAGGTAAGCGCGTGCCTCTTCTACACTAGCTCCAACAAGCACTTCGCAAAATCCTGCAATACTCTGATTTCTCGATTGATCAACCGGCGGATTCCAACTCGGACCAGAATCGATCATTAATGGCAGTGTCGACGGCGTATTAGACGCTAATTTCTCGTTCACCGGCGAAGATTCAAACGCGAGAGACGACAACGGCAAGGTTTGGTTGCGGCAAGCCTCTAACGCCGAATCAAAATTCCATTGGAATCCTTCGAGGTAACAGAGTGCTTCTTCTCTACATACTTCAAGTTCATCGCAGATTCGATCAATCGGATTAGCCATCGTCGTCGGCGGAAGGTGTTCGTCCCCAATTTGGGCGGGACTTGTACTTTTTTCCATCCAGAATTTTGCCAAGAAGACGATGATTTTCTTGCTTAATACAGCGTCGTTTAGAGTATAAGACGACGTCGTATAATGCGATTTAATCCACAAAATCCCAGGGGTAAAAAGGTAAAGTAACAGTAAACTGAAAAACAGAGGCAAAAAGAAGAGACCGTTCGAACTTCGAACTTTCGATCTAAACAAATAAAATCGACAAAAAAAAAACTTTAATCTATATTGATACTATTATACACACTTTTTTATTTAAACACACAAAAAATTGTTGAGAAGAAGAAACTCTAACAATATAGAAATGGCAAAATGGGTGCAAAATAAAACCACATTTTCTTTTTTTGTATTGATTGTTCTAAATAAAAACTATCTCTTATAAGTTGCAACCAAGCTCACATCTTCTTCTTCAAGTTTTTGCTCCTCAAGCTCTATAAGTCTGGCAAACACACCGACCAATGGAGCAGTATTGTACGTACAAGCCTCTGTTTGAACGTAATTATCCCTCCGGTCATCAAATTCATCCTGGTCATCCGGCCCTCCAACCAAAGCCCCAACTAAAACACTCGGATTTGGCTCGGATCGTCCGTACCAATTATCATATCCTTGAGTACATCCAATAAACCCTTTGTGTTCTTTAAAAGAAGCGATAGACGCGCCTCGATGATGAACCCTAATCGGGTATTTTGGACCGTACCCGACTAGATAACTTGTTTCCATCGGATTTGATCCTAAAATGTAATCGATTTGAGATTTCGCAAAGCCGAGCATCTCATCAGGAGTTACGGTTCCTTCGTGACACTCGAGATCGGTGTTTGATTTTCGGAGATGATCGGAATATACGGTTAGGAGGAAAGATGCGGTGGATACGTATTGCATATTGTTCCATTGCCGGACGTAGAGTAAACCAGCCGGAGTTCGCTGAACGTTTGTGCCGTTGATGTTCTTGTTGAGAATTGAGCATAGGTAATGATCCGCCTTTGATTTGTATTGCTGTAGGACTTTAGAATGTTGCTTGTGCTTTTCTTCTTTTAGCAACTGAGAAATGACCATAAATCAATTTAAAGCAAACAAGTTAGTGTTCATTTGTAAGAAAAAAAATATGCTAATAAAATAGTAACACCTACTCTATATTGTTAGCAAGTAATTAAATTGATTTGAATTGAATCTTCAGCCAACTAACTTACTTTCTTTCTTAAATTTACACCATTTAGGCTCTATATATAAAGCAGCAAATACTTTTCATTTTTTTGGTGAAATAGAAGTATAATAGTGTTAGTGCTTAAACTTTAATAAATTTCGTTGACTAATTTATGCATAAGATAAATTTAAAAAAATTATGCATAAGATAGCTGATTTATCAAGTAGGTTTAAAATCACGTGCCATAAAACAGAACCATTTAAAGAGACGTATCCGCTTAGAGGAACAAAAACACGTGACCTTTAGCACTGTTTCTGCTTCATAACTAACTTTTTTTCTAAATGCTAGTACTAATATTTAGTTATAAAGTATTTCATTTAATTTGTTGCATACAAAGAGAAAACATTTGAATAGTTGTTGTACATATGTAACGTGGGGTGGGGAATAACCTTACTTTTGGTAATTCAACGTGAGAATGTTAAAACTTGATAATCACTTCACATAAGGCAATAATAAGATTCTACTTAAATCTTAAATTAGACTAAGATAAGAGGTTAGTGCTATAACTATTTCACTTTACCAAAAAAAAAAGTTGAATAATATTTAAGCACTAACCATGGAAGCGAGGAGCTGAACGCCGGCGAACTTGACGTCCCAGCTAAACTCGGACATGGCCCAAGAAAGGCCACCTAGTTGGTGAGCCATGTCAACCACATAACTCATATAGTGCTCATTGTCGGTGGCTCGATAAAGCCACGTGGCACCCCATAAAAGCTCGTCCATGTACCCACTCACCGAGGCATAATAACTTTTCACAACTTTTAGACTCTCATCGTATTTTCCTCTGTACTTGTCTCCAAACTCAAACAACTACAAACCAAAACCATAACTTATTTAAGTGTCCTACCCAAAAAAACATTAAAATGTCGGTTGCAACTGTAACATTAAATAAAATTTAAAATGAGTATGTACTTGTTGGGCATGGTGCAAGAGAAGGTGAGAGTAATGTGGATTTGTTGAACGGAAAACGATCGAAGCTGCCGCCATAGCCGCGGCAGTTTCCCCGGCGATATCTGAACCAGGATTGTTCTCGTCGATCTTGAAAGCTCGCCGTGAAGTCGTCATGTCCTCCGGTCTTTGCCAACAGTAGTGGTCAGTGTCACCGTCGCCTACTTCGGCCCATAAAACATTTGGGCTTGTATGTGCCTTGATGAAGTAGTCTGTTCCCCACTTGATGGCTTCAAGCGCGTGAGATAACTCGCCGGTGGAAGCGAGTGTGTCACCGTACTCTATTACACTCCATGATAACATCGTCACCGTGAAAGCCATCGGAAGTCCAAATTTAACATGATCACCGGCGTCGTGATATCCTCCCACTAAATCCACCTTTAAAACCAAAATTTTAAAACTAAAGTCACATCAATATATAAAACAAATTAAACAATTAATTTCAAAAATTAGAAAGGCTTTTCAAGTCTCATTTCAAACCAAAGAAAATAATTTCTCAATATGGAAATCAACAATAAATTTCAATATTAATTAGCTTTTAATGTATTAATTAGTTAGAAATTTTCATAACTCTCTTATCAAAATTGAAACTAATGATAGTAAAGTGAAATTAGTTTAAATTTTAAAACTAAGAAAATTAATTAACAAATAAATGATTTTGAGTTTTTGACAAAAAAACAAACCCCTTGTTCAAGACCATCGGTGAGACCAGAGTGATCACGCCAAGTCACGCGCTGGTTATACGGAAGTCTCCCTGATCTCTGAGCTTCAAAGTAGAGTAAGCTTTTAGACAATGCTTCACCGTAGTCAAAACCTCCGACGTCTGTCTCCGACGAAACACCGGCCAACACGGCGGAGAAGACAGTGATCAGAAGGAGAAGGAGGAGGAGAAAATGACATGGCTTGTGTCGGTGATCCATCACAGTCATATTTGAAGATCTCTTTCTCCAGAAAGAAGTCTCTGTTGGAGATGAAGAGAGAGAGAGAAAGAAAGCGATAGACTCTCTCACTCACTGGTCTCTCTCTATTTTCTCTGCTCTCGCAGGAGAGGGATTATATTTGAAAGCTCTGTGGACTTGTGGAGTGGTGGAGGAAAGAGAGAGAGAGATGACGTGACTTTTATTTTTCTTCTACTTTATTTTTTTTGTTTGGTAACTTTTGTTTTTAATCTGAAATATTTCACATGAGAAAATGTCGAGATTTTTGCCTTTTCCACATAGTGGTAATCGCCGTAATTTATGCAGCTAGTTATTGCTTTTGTTGTGCTAATGTTGACGAATTAATTTAAAAGTGCAAGTATAAAATAATTATATATATTACACACTTGTTGAAATTTTAGATTTTTATTGTGAGGGTGTTTTATGATACTTTTCCAAATGATTTCAAAAGGTGGTAATAATTTCAACTTATTTAGCAATCTTGTGTAATTTTATAAACTATAAGGAGAAAGTCAGTTGTCCATAGTGTAAGAGCATGTTAGTGTGAGTCTTTTACTCTCTCAAAGGAGTATATTATTTTAATAATTTTTATATAATTTATTTTTATTTAAAATTTAAACTAGAGATAAAACTCATAATCAATTATGTTGAAATATGTCTCAAATAGTTTGTTCAAAAGTTTTCAAAATCTTTGAAATGAGAGATTCATACTAAACATGCTCTAACAGACTAACAGTTCAAAGAAGAGTATTTGGACGATTTGTCTCTTAATTAGTTTCTCTGTCGAATCATAATCATTTCAAGTTTCCATGAAACGGTCCAATTAATTAATAGACTAATTACTGTCGTTAAGTGCCTAAGGAATTAATTAATTGGGGAGAACATTTGACGGAGAAGACTAAGGAATTTTCGGAACCGTCAAACGTCATTGCTACTTGCTAGGCAGAGATTCATTACTGTCGTTAAGTGCCTTAAGGCTGCTGTAGTGCTGTGTTAGGCAAGAGAATCGTGAATAGTAAGCTAATTTCTCAAATATAAAAACTTGGTTTTGGCTGCATTCAGACATTCAGTGTTAGAAACTACAACGGTTAGTACATTTATATAATATCATATTTAAAAAAAAAAACTATAATATGATTCAAGTAACAAATCGCAAATGTTAAAACTCAAACTTGTATCCATATGGGTATGAGTATTACTATTAATTTAGTCACATCTATTCATTAGTACTAAACCAAAAACTCCAAATATTAAAAAAAATATGTGAATCTAAATGGGTTTTAAAGATGGACCTGGATCATCTTAATAGTATAAGTTTGCCCACCACCAATAAAAACTGAGGGGTATGACAATGGGCACTAAGAGACACATACACGTGTGCAGTTCCTACACAACCATAAATTTCGCAGTAATTCAGGTTTCCGGAGTTTCATGAGGACCGGTTTAATTAAGCGGTTTATCATTTTTCCGAGCACCGACATTTTCAAGTGGGCCTGACCATTTGTTCCCAACCATCGAGCTAGCTCGACCGACAACTTAGTCAAACTAATTTGACTTATGCAACCAAAAGGTGATTAGCGCCTCTAAGCATGTAGCTAGACGTCAAATTTGATATGTTGTTAACGGGGAACATGTGTTTATTTGTTTATCATTACTGGTACTATCAATTAAACTATACGAATAGCTGTTGATAAACTAACTATTTTTCATGTTAATTCACACAAATATCGTTATATACACTATCATTATATCTTTTACAAAATGAAGTTAATTTTGTATTCTGTTCTAATCTTTGTAAATCAATTTTGATTTGATGCTATATTGCATATTCTATAGTGTATAAATCTTACATTATAAATCCTATTCGATATACCTTTAAAATGTTTTTTTTTTTTTTAACTTTAAAATGGATTCTCTGTTTTATTTAAGACTATTTTGGCATACGTTGATTAGTAAACCTTTTTATCTCCAAAAAGCTAAGTATAGTTTCAAATGTGTTAGATCAGATGGCTACAAATGTGGAAAAAATAAACAAAGCTCGACCTTACTTTGATCCACACATTACCGACCATGCCCTTTCTTACTCAGCAATTAGTTGCTGTTTTATATGAATAATTGTCATGAATATTGGTTTAACCAAAGCGTTTTCCTAGTCTTCCTCTTCTTAAGATTTGGAGTTAGATTTTCTTTGATTCTGTTTTCTTTCATAGTAAATAGAAAGGAGTGATCTACAAGACACCAGTTTAAGAGTCCTAAGAGCAAAAAATTTGAATTGTTCTCCAGTAGACAGACAAAAGAAGGTTATTTTTCAAAGATAGTAGCTTGAGTCGCAAGAGTAGAATTTTTCCAAATATTCATCATGTCATGAGTAGAAAAAGATGATCGTTTCCTATCAGCTTGAGTCACAAACAATTTATAACACAATTAAAATGTTTAAAAATAAATAAAAACGTATCTTAGTTTTGATAATTCAGTCGTTAAATCTCACTCTTATAAAGTTTTAACTATATGAATACATAAAATTTTATTCGCCCTCTGGTGTGTGGTGTGGTTCGTGCAACCCGCTCAATTAACTCCGAATCTATGGAATTAATAATGTTGTCGATCGTTGGTGGTTCCCATCATCTTCCAAAAAAAAAACTCAATTCTTTTCAAATGATTGAGCGCCACGTGCCTCTTCATGCCAGCATATCACCGACGAACTCGAGCTAGCTCCAAAGAAGTTACACTATTCCACCTTACTACTTTTAAACACAAATTAAAAAAAAAAAACATATAATTTATATTTAATTTTTTTTTTACATAAAACACCATTAAATCAAATAATTTTAACCAATTAGAAAGTATGATGGAAAAAAATACATTTAATTTTTGCATAGACAATTGAAAACATCATTATTTAAAATGAAACCAAATTTTTTTCTAAAACATCACTTAAAATAATAAAAGGAAAGTAATAAAACAAAAAACTTTAAGTAGATAAATTAACTTCATTACTTTTTTTGATAAAGAAATGAAAAGATGGGAATCGAACCCATTACTTGAGTATAATATCAGAATGGAACCAATTGAGCTGCGGAATTTAATGATTTTATTACTTGATAATAGACAAGCACAACTCACAACGATGACTCTTTATTTTATCACCAACCGAAAAAAAAGGTTTCACTAAGTCAAAGGCGAAAACTTAAATTCACGTTTATTTGCAGATTGATATAAATATGACAAGATTCGACCGACTGAAAATTCTATGCAGAATTTGGGGTTTTGTTTTCTCTCCCACACTCTCTCTCTCTTAAATCCATGCAGAATAAAAAAATTGGCGATCCATAAATAATGCAGAATATTAAATGCAAGATATAAAGGGGGTGTTATTGGTTTATTAATTTGTAAATCCATATAGAATTTGAAATTTTCTATTAATTATGAAATCAAGATATATGGATTTTGAAATAACATGTGTTTACCCATGGATTTGAATCCTTCTATTTTCCTCTTTCAATTCCATTCAAATCCATTTAAAACATAATTTGGATTCTCAAATCCAAAAACAAATGACTAAACGAATAACATAGGAATTTAACTAGTATTTATAAATGATAGAACCAATAACACATGATTTTAATTAAGATTTTAAAATCAATGATTGAATAACAAATGATTTTTGTTTGGATTTCTAATTCCTTATAAATCCATGAACCAATAACCCCTCCAAAATTAATGTAACAATCAAATCCCAATGTTTTAGTTAATAAATATGTTAATGACCTGCAGATCTGTCAAATCTTTGATATTAAAGAGTCTTTACTCTTTAGTATAAAGTGAAGAACTTTTTATTAGATCAAAATATGTATTTTGCTTTCTAGACGTTCCAAATTTCATAAATCTCCCACCGACGGTCTCACAATTTTTCGACTTCACGTTTAATAAACGTGCCAGTTATGAGAGGAATCTCTTACATAAAAAAGATTCAAGCTTCATTAATTTAGAAATAAGCTAAGAGTATATTGCTCATGATTTCTTTATCAAAAAAAAAAAACTTAAATAGCTCATACAAAACTTTATTGGGTAAAGAAACTAAAAAAAGGAAAGAGTAATTGGAAAAAACCAAGCTTAGTAAATCTTTGATTGATATATCATAAAAGGGTTGAGAAGGAGAATTGCTCCAAATGGCAACTCTCAAAGTTACCATATATTAATGCTCTAAACACAAATTTATTGAATCTCTACTTGCTAAAACACCTTAGTTACATGGACTAATAAACTTCTCATAAGACTATCTTAAACTTTTTATGGATGCTCTAATAGCTTACTGTTCGAGTTGTTGCATGTAAACCGTGTACGTTCCTCTCCTTCTCAAGATTTCCTATTTTCGCATTGAAACTATCACTCATGAACCACGCTCCATCTCTTTGAGTACGTATACGAGATCAATATTTTTAACAAATTCTCTTTGATCCACAACAGGAATTCTATAAAAACAAATGGGTAATGAATATATTGGTCTATGTCTTTTAGACTTTTATATATTACTCACTCTGTTTCAAAATGTAAAATGTTTTGGCTAAAAGTACAAAGTTTAAGAAACTAATTAATTTTTTTTGTTTTCATATTTTCTACATTAAAAACATAATTTAATTTTATTAAAGAGAGTTTGGCCAATGAAATTTTATACTGCAGAATATAAATAGTCATAAAAGTATATAAATTTAATTTTTGCACAAAAACTTGAACATTTTTGTCCTAAACATCTTATATTGTGATATGTGAAACAAAATAAAATGACTAAAACATTCTATGATAAGAAACAGAGGGAGTATTGTTTTAGGCTTCATCTCATTTCCAACTTAAAATTTATAGCAAAACAAATGTTACCCTAAATTTTTCGTTATTCAACAACATTATTTTATAATGACATATCAACAATACTAATACAAACCAATAGTTTCTATTCTGTTGGTTGGTTTTGTCGGGTTATTTGCGTTACGTCACGTATCAGCTCTTTGCCTCTTTCAGTGTCCATA